GCAGTCCTGAGGGCTGAGAGAACCTGAGGGCATGGTGAGCTTCCCCTTGTCCTCCTGGAGAGACTGGGATAAGACTCTGGAGAGGACAATATCTTGTGGCTGTGATCCACTCAGCTCTGGAGTCTTACCCATCCAGGCCTTGTTCCAGAGCAGAATATTCCAAGGTTGAAAGCAATGAGGAATGGAGCTCCCCTCCAGAGGGTGCCCGGGATTCCCAGTCCAAGGATTTGAGGAGAAGCCCAAGACTCTGTGCTTACTCCTTGGGCAGAGGCAGCAAAATGTGTCACTGCAGGTGGTGCTGGGGCAGTTGTGCCAGGCTGGAAGCTGTTGTGTAAGGGTTTTCCCTGCCTGGAACTCCCCTAAATGCAGGGAATGGAGCTGTTGGGCCAAGAGATGGGCAGAGGGAGATGCTGAGTGGGGTCTAGGTGGTGGCTGGTTGTGGCTCATGGGCTGTGTGGCCACCCAGCCCCGAATTGTGACCTGGGAGAGGTCCAAACTGGTTCTGCCTTTCTCTGGAGCTGCTGCTGAGCACAATGTGCTTGGCACCAGCCTTGAGGACACGAGTGGCTGCTAGGCCCTGCAGGGCTGTAGGACAGGGACTGGAGAGGCCATGGCAACTTGTGCCCTGCTCATTAGGTGCTTCTGGGGCAGGTGTAAAGAGGAGTCTGTGCTCCAGAACTCACCTGTACTGTCCCTCAAGCAGTTCTTTCAGTCCTGTCTGCTCGGGGTGGTTGGTGTAGCACCAGGATGTTCTCACAGGGTCCTTCAGGCTAGGGAGGAGATGCTGTTACTCTGTTCTTCTGGTGTCCCTGTTCAAACCCTGTCAGTCCCACTGCAGTGTGCTGTGGCTCTCTCTGAAGCTGCTTCTGGTCCAGCTGTGGCAGAACTTCTTTCTGCAAGGCTTAAAGCCCATCCCAGGGCTCTGTCCTTGCTGGGGCCCTTCAGGCTCCTCTTCTAGTGTCTCCTCTTCCTTTCTTTGCCTCTGCACATCCTTGGCAGCACTTCCACCTCTGCCTGCACTTGGTTCCCTCTGATCTTCCTGAGCTGAAGCACAAGTCAGAGGAAGACAAACCTTTGCTCTTCCTGGCTGCACCTGGGAGCAGCCCAGGCTGCCCTCGGAGGCACAACTTGTTTGACGTGCTCACCCTGGTGCTCTACTAACCTTCCCTTTCTCTCTTTTTCTCTCCTGCTCTCTCTCCCCTCACCCTGGTGCCGCTGCAGAGGGCCTGTACAGCCAACTTGAGAGAAACCGGCTGCTCTCTAACGAGCTGAAGTTAACGCTGCATGATCTGTGTGACTGACCAGGGGCCACTAATCCCCCTAAACGAGCTCATTGCCACCACCAGTGCTGTGGACCACAGTGAAATCTGAGCATTAAGCCTGGCAGGCTTGCAAATTTCATTTGATGAGGCACTTGAGTTTATCCTCTTGATTTATTTAAGCTTTTTTAAAAATAGATATATGTAAAGGTAATTTCTTATTTTTGGTGGAGTAACCTATCCAGACTTGGCTGGGTTTGGTCTTGTTTGCTTGGCCAGGGGGTCCTGCCTGGCTGCACCCCCAGGTGAGAGATGGGGTGAGGTTAGTCTGCTTGAAGATACCTGCCAAGTGCTACAACTCAGTTTACTCTTAGCTGAAAACACCTGTAGGATCTCCTGGTGCATGGAATGTTGGCTGCTACCAATAAAGGACTGACCTGGTGGTCTGTGAGACACTGCACACCTGTAGTATGTTCCTGTCCTAACTGAGAAGGTTTGGGGGCAGTAATCATTCCTGGGGGCTGACCCCAGTGCAGTTGGAATGGGTTGGGAAAACTCTTGGACATCTTGAGAGCGACTCCCAGAATGCCCAGCCTGGAGCTGTGTCCTGGGTGGCTGCAGGGAGTGTTTGGGTGCTCAGTGTGCTGCAGGAAGGCTGTTCCCTCTCTCTGTGCACAGTTCCTGGCCCTGGGGAGGTTGGGAGTGGCTTTGGGACTCTGCCTGTACCTAAAGGATGTTTTCCTACAGCCTCTCTGCCCTGTGTCCCAGCGTGTGGATGTCTCCAGTGACATGGGTGGGCTTACCTTTGGAGTGAAGCCCACCTAGAGCACTAGCTGCTGGTTTGCTCTCCCTCCTGGCTTAAGGAACATGTGAGATTCCCGTGCACAGCTGCCTGTGGGCTCGGGCAGGGTGCAGCTCCCTCCCTGCTCTCTCTGCCTCTCACTGCCCCTGTCCCACTGCCCCAGGCTGGTGGGTGCTCCCTGCTGCTGGGCACTCGTGGTCCTGGTGACCAGCTTGGCCTCCCTGCCCTGTGCTGAGGGGAAGGGGCACAGCCAGCTGTGGTTGCAGGGGGTGATTTCCACGTGTGTGTTGCTCTCGGGGTGCCTTGCTGGGCCATGGGGGCAGCTGTGGAGCCCCTGGGGAGGGCTGGCTGCACTCAGAGGCACCTGCATGTGTGGAGCACTGCCTGGAGCGGTGGCTGAGCACCCTGTGCTGAGCAGGAGCACTGGCAGTGCGAGGGGTGAGGGCTACACACGAGCCAGGTGAGCCCACAGCTGCACCCAGCCAGGCACCACCCGTGGGGAAGGGACACACCAGCTCTGTGTGGCCAAGGATTGGGGATTTCTCTGCTGCCTTTAACTCTCAACTCTTGCTTCCTGCCAGATAAACTGAAATCCACCAAAGAGGAGCATCTCTGCACACAAAGGATGCTGGACCAGACCCTGCTAGACCTGAACGAGATGTAAAGGATCCCCCAAGCCTCCTGCGCCGGCCCAGCCCAGCCCAGCCCTGCTGCCCTCTCACCCTGGGCACAGAGTTCACTCTCTGCTGCCAACTTGACCAAACCCAAATCCCCGGGGTGAAAGGGCACCAGGTTGGGCAGAGCTTCATTAAGGGAAACAAACAATGCAATAACAGTCTGGGAGGGCATGTTGGAGGTGTAAACATTTTGTAACTCCCTGTTTTTGTAGCAGCCATCGGGAACATTCCAAACCAGGTGTGTGAGGCTTGAGCTGCACTGCAGAGCTCTGGGCATGGGAATTGGGTGGTCACCTCCTGTCCAGAGGCTCTGGCAGGGCAGGGAGAGGAGGGGATGGCTCTGGCTGGGAGGCAGAGTCAGCCAGGCCCAGGATGGAAAGCTATTGGGGAAAATTCCTTTCCTGGATCTGTTTGCCAAAAGAGCAGCACAGTTGCTCAGCTCTAAGGTAATTGTGTGTTGGGGAGGAGCAACTTGGGTGAAAGTCACCTTTTTTTTCCTTTTTCATGGGGCTGTGTCACTTTTCCCCCACCGTTGGCCACTTCCTTTCCCGGTGGGCTCAGAACAGCCTCAGACCCTCAAACCCACTGCTCCCAGGGGCTGACTTTGCCTTCACTCAGTGCTGCTGCACTAAAGCTTCACCGCTGGGTCACACTTAACAGCTTGAGTCCAACAGCCTTGTGTGCTTGGTGAAGTGGTTTTGCCTACCTGGGAGGAGGGAGCTGAGCTCTCCCTCCTGCCCAGGGACTGCTCTCAGTGTCTTACTTGGGTCCAAGCCATGTCGCTGTGCATCGCTGCTGTGTCGTGGTGTGAGTGTGGAGCTTGTGGGCTGAGCATGCTGCTGGCCTGGGGCAGCTCCAGGGCCAAGCTGGAGACAACTACCCAAGCCAATGTTTTATACTAAATTGAAAACATTGTGTTACTGTCTTTTGAAATAAAAACAGATCCCTCCACGCTGCTCTTGGGCCTCTGAGTGTCACTGGGTGTGAACTGCTCCCTTGGAGCTTGGGGGGATGAGGGTGGGGGGGAAGGCTGGGAATGTGCCCATCTCTTGGGGGTGAGACCAGGTGTAGGGGAAGGGTGAGCTCGACAGCTTCTTCCCTGGGCTGGGACTGTGGGGTGAGTCCCTCAGGCACTTTGGGGATGACACTGAGCTGAGAGGGATGTGGATCTGCTGGAGGGCAGGAAGGCTCTGCAGGGGGATCAGGACAGGCTGATCCATGGGCCAAGGCCGAGGCTCTGCAGAGAGATCAGGACAGGCTGTCCAGAAGGACATAGAACTGTTGGAGCAGGTCCAGAGGAGACCACAAAGCTGATAAAAGGATTGGAGTGTCTTCCCTATGGAGACAGTTGGGGCTGTTCAGTCTGGAGAGGAGAAGGTTGTGTGGAGACCTCATAGCAACCTTCCAGGATTTGTCCTTCCTTCCTTCCTTTCCTTCCTTCCTTTCCTTCCTTCCTTTCCTTCCTTCCTTTCCTTCCTTCCTTTCCTTCCTTCCTTTCCTTCCTTCCTTTCCTTCCTTCCTTTCCTTCCTTCCTTTCCTTCCTTCCTTTCCTTCCTTCCTTTCCTTCCTTCCTTTCCTTCCTTCCTTTCCTTCCTTCCTTCCTTTCTTCCTTCCTTTCCTTCCTCTCTTCCTGCTCTGCCTAACTGCTCTGCGTGGCAGGAACTGGAATTTTAGCTAGTAAATGCATGAAAAACTGGATTAGAAACCCTCACATTTCCTTTCCTTCCAGGAATATCCTTTTTGCCTTTGTAACTGCCCCTTCTTGCTGCTTGCTGAGCTGTTTGCACAGAGGGTTTGGATTCAGGAATTAGCTGTTAAATACTTGGGAGGATGAAGAATCAGAACTCTCCTGCCTCAGTCCCTGACTGCTGCCGCGAGGAGCTCCACAATGATCATCTCTGCCTCGTGCTTGTCCTCGGCTCCACACCGAAATCTGCTCCTTGGCAGTGGGAGATGTTTCTCTTGCACAAATCAGCATCTCTGGCACTCCCTGGGACAAAGCCTAATGCAAACTTTAGGTTTCCAGGCCAATTTAGGAGTGTTTCTATTCTTAACCCCCCGATGATACGAGTCTCAATAGCAGAGTTATTGTTACTGAGTTGCTGTGGATGGTCCCTGGGAGCAAACCACGTGCTGTGTTCCAGGTTCTATGTGCCCAGGGAGGACACTGGACAGGAAAGCTGTGGTGGCTGTGGAGGTTTATGACACCGAAGTGTATTTATCTGATGTCAGTGTGTGTTTACTTAACAAGGAGCAGCTGCCAGAGGCAGAGCCATGGGGAGCTGTGCTGCAGAGTTCAGCTCTAATAAGGAAACGGGAGAGAGGGAGAGGAGGGAATTAACCCTCTCTGGGTGGTTGTCTCAGTCTCTGTTCGCATATAATCACAACCTTCTTGTTCATACCTGTGAGAGAGAAACTGCTCTGTGCTCCAGGTTGTGCCTTGTGCCATAGACTTCAGGGAGGCACAGGCTGGTTTGGGGTGGAAGGACTTTAAATGGCACTGGGATGTACTGGGAGGGAAGTGAAGGGGCATTGGGAGGTACTGGAAGGGGATTGGGGGGCACTGGGAGAGGCTGAGAGGGGCCTGGGGGTACTGGGATGTACTGGAAGAGGATTGGGAGGCACTGAGAGGACTAGAGGCACTTGGATGTACTGGAAGGGTATTAGGAGGCACTGAAAAGGGATGAGAGCGGACTGGGGGGCACTGGGATGTACTGGAAGGGTATTGGGCATTGGGAGGTACTGGAAGGGGATTGGGGGGCACTGGGAGAGGCTGAGAGGGGCCTGGGGGTACTGGGATGTACTGGAAGAGGATTGGGAGGCACTGAGAGGACTAGAGGCACTTGGATGTACTGGAAGGGTATTAGGAGGCACTGAAAAGGGATGAGAGCGGACTGGGGGGCACTGGGATGTACTGGAAGGGTATTGGAAGGCACGGCACTGGGCACTGGGATGTACTGGAAGGGTATTGGGAGGCACTGAGAGGGGCTGAGAGGGAACTGGAGGTACTGGGATGTACTGGGTGGTGATTTGGGGCACTGGGAGTGGTTTATAGGGGACCGAGAGGCACTGGGATGTACTGGGTGGTGATTTGGGGCACTGGGAGAGGCTGAGAGGGGACTGAGGGGCAACTGGGATGTACTGGGAGGGCACTGGGAGTGGTTTATAGGGGACCGAGAGGCACTGGGATATACTGGAAGGGTATTGGGAGGCACTGAGAGGGGCTGAGAGGGAACGAGGTACTGGGATGTACTGGGTGGTGATTTGGGGCACTGGGAGAGGCTGAGAGGGGACTGAGGGGCAACTGGGACTCACTGGTGGCTCCTGTGGAGGGTCAGGGATGCACTGACCCTTACGGGGCAGAGCCTGGGGGTGCCCTGAGGGAGTCTGAGGGAGTCTGGAGGAGCCTGAGGGAGTCTGAGGGAGTCTGGAGGCACCTGAGGGAGCTCTGAGGGAGCTCTGAGGGAGTCTGGAGGAGACTGAGGCAGTCTGTGGGTGTCTGAGGGTGTTTGGAGAAGCCTGGAGGTGGCTGAGAGTCCCTGAGGGAGCTTGAGTGCCCCTGAGGGTGTTTGGAGGAGCCTGGAGGTGCCTGAGAGCCCCTCAGGGAGTCTGATGGTGTTTGGAGGAGCCTGGGGATGGCTGTGAGTCCCTGAGGGAGCTTGAGAGCCCCTGAGAGAGTCTGAAGGTGCCTCGAAGAGCCTCGGGGTGCTGGTGAGGCCCTGAGGGAGTCTGAGAGTGTCTCAAAGAGCCTCGGGGTGTCGGTGAGGCCCTGAGGGAGCCTGAGGGTGTCTCGAAGAGCCTCGGGGTGCTGGTGAGGCCCTGAGGGAGTCTGAGAGTGTCTCAAAGAGCCTCGGGGTGTCGGTGAGGCCCTGAGGGAGCCTGAGGGTGTGCGGAAGAGCCCCAGGGAGCCGGTGAGACCCTGAGGGACCCTGAGGGTGTCTCGACGAGCCTCGGGGTGTCGGTGAGGCCCTG